AATCAGCAGCATATTATTAAATATTGAGTAAAATACTCTTAGTTATTTGTTTAGTACAATTAGAGGGGCAGGTCTTTCAAATCACCAGTATATTGTAATAGCCTTTCAACCTATTTTCAAATTATTTACCCCTCAAGGGATCTTTTGATATACATATCCTATACTGCGTCTATCCATCCCAGGAGTCCTACAAAAGCTCAGTACAAACAAGCAAGAAGATTAACAACAAAACTTGGTCATTGCAAATTTGTAACACCCAGCATAACCACGATCCTTCACCTGGGCCCGCTTCCCATGCTGCTCACAGACACTTGATACCTGAGCAAGTGGAAGAGATCCAACACCTTTCCAAATCAAACCTCAAGCCATCTCAGATTTTAGTACAACTCCAAACAGCCAATAAAGATGTGTTGGCAACCAACCGGACTGTCTTGAATGCACTTCAACGGATCTGTCAAGACAACCTGGCTGGTAAGAGCCCAACCAAAGCCCTCTTATCTATCCTTAAGGAGACCAACTGGTCTTGGGAAGTCAAGGTCAATGACAAGGGATCCATTCTGAATGTATTTTTTGCTCACCCTGGCTCGCATTAATCACCATGTTGAATTACTTGATGCAACATACAAGACCTGCAAGTACAACATTCCCTTGCTACACATCATTGGTCAGGCTCAAACCAATTGCTCCTTCAGTATTGCCTTCTGCTATTTTACCAATGAAGACAAGGAAAACTATTTGTGGGCTGAAAACAACCTCAAGAAGTACATCTGGAAACCCAAACGGACACCAAAGGTCTTCATCACTGATCAGGACACTGCATTACAAAATACGTTGGAGGTTGCCTTTCCTGATTCAAAAGCCAACCTCTGCACGTGGCACCTCAACAAGAACATCTTGTCAAATTGCAAGAAGTACTTTGCTGCTGGGGTCTCGGAAGACAGCTGGGATTCCTTCATGTCTTCTTGAGCAAAGGTCAACTCCTCAAAATCTCCCGAGATATACGTCAAACAATATGACCAGTTAAAACTCTCCCTGGCGCCTTGCCCTGCTGTGCTTTTATACCTTGAGAAGTGGATCATTCCAGTGAAGGAACTGTTTGTTGTTGTGTGGGCTTGCCAGTATCCTCACCTCCAAAATCTCAATACCTTGCGAGTTGAATCCGGTCATGCTGTTTGTTGAGTTTTCACCTCACTGCAGACTCTTGTGCAATCTCAATGCACTGCGCGCACAGTAGTGATAAATTAATTTGACTGCAGACTTAAGGAAATCTAGAACCACTTAGGGTTTAAGTCATCCTTGAAGAAGCAGTCGATGAACGTAGTCATCTTTCTTTCTTTTCTTTAACCAACCAAGAAGGAATTTGGTTCAACTAAACACAACTGCACAACCACTCGATAATCATCAATCATCAATACTTCGGGGACTACACTGGTAAAGTAAACAAACATCGACAATCAATCCAAGCCAATCAGTTCCCTGACTTTTCTTCTTTTCCTATTTCCTTTTTTTCTCTTGTGTACAGACTGAGTATCTCGATCTCATAACTTCCCTCATCAGCGCTCTAACTCAAATACTTCTGTAAAGCTTCTGTTTGTTTCTTATTCTGTTTTGCTTCTCTTCCTTGTTGTTTGTTGTCAAAAGAACTAATTCATTTTTTCTCTTTGCTATTATCTTCATTCTTCTCTTATAGTCTTCTACCTCTACTAAAATCCTCACCATCTCTTGGATAGTCATACTCTTTCATTATCTACATCAAATAGCGGTTTTGCCTCACTTTTTCTTTTTTCTTTCTCTGTTTCATTCTTACCTCTTTCTCATTCTATAATCTGATTTCTTGTCTTTTTTCTTTAGTTCTGGTTTCTGTTTCTGTGCAATAAAATCAAGTTTCTTCACTGTTAAGCTCAAAAGTGTTCCTGAGGGGCTTGATAAACGCACGCCACCCCCCCTGGCGCACGCCAGGTGCGGATTGGCGTGCACGCCTGCACACCAAAGAAAATTGGCGTGCAGGCCCGCACGCCAATCTACAGAGTGTAGACCGGCGTGCAGGCCTGCACGCCAAGGGATTCGCCGCCGTCCCATAGGACCCAGGCATGGGTCCTATGGGACGGCCCCTTTGTTTTTTTTTCATTTCATTTCATTTTTTTTTTCAAATCCCCTCGGCCTAAAGAGGCCAAGGTCACACCGGCTTGTCGGGAGGGGTTCCTCCCGGCGAGCTGGTTTCTTTACCAGCTCGTCGGAAGGATTCCCTTCCAAAGAGCTGGTATATGTACCAGCTTGCCGGGAGGATTCCCTTCCGACGAGCTGGATTGTGTACCAGCTCGTCAGAAGGAATTCCTTCCGACGAGCTGGTATATGTACCAGCTTGTCGGACATATACCAGCTCGTTGGAAGGGTTTCCTTCCAACAAGCTGGTATAGAAAACAGCTCGTCGGAAGTATTCCCTTCCGACGAGCCGGTGTACATGCTCGTCGGAAGGGTTTCCTTCCGACGAGCTGGTATAGAAACCAGCTCGCCGGGAGGAACCCCTCCCGACGAGCTGGTACATATACCAGCTCGTTGGAAGGGGTTCCTTCCGACGAGCTGGTACATAATCCAGGTCGTCGGAAGGGAATACTTCCAACAAGTTGGTATAAAAACCAGCTCGTCGGAAGGGAGTACTTCCGACAAGTCGGTATAAAAACCAGCTCGTCGGAAGGGATTCCTCCCGGCGGTGTGACCTTGGCCTCTTTAGGCCGAGGGGATTTGAAAAAAAAAATGAAATTAAATTAAAAAAAGGGGCCGTCCCATAGGACCCATGCCTGGGTCCTATGGGACGGCGGCAATCCTAAACTCATATGTATACATATGCGTTTAGGAATCCTTGGCGTGCAGGCCTGCACGCCGGTCTACATTCTGTAGATTGGCGTGCGGGCCCGCACGCCAATTTTCTTTGGTGTGCAGGCGTGCACGCCAATCCGCACCTGGTGTGCGGTTTGGCGTGCGCCAGGGGGGATGGCGTGCGTTTATCAACGCCCTGTTCCTGAGAACCTAATTCTGAGTGCGGAAAGGGATGTATGAGGTTTCCTCTGCCTTTCCTGGTTCACTAGACACTAAAACAAGCCCACCAATCCCAGATTGGCAGGTTTATATAGTGATAGTGGAGTGTTATCAAAAGATAACTGTTGTCTGAGCCATCTTTTTTCATATGGATTGGTGTGTTGTGCAAGGTATTTGTATGTAAGTATATGTAAATGAAAGGACCAAGGCTTCAACCAGGTGCAAGTTGGATGAAGGGGCTCCAAAAAAAACTAAGTGGTGGTATTTATATAAGAGTGTTGAGAGTTGTGTAATATTTGTTATTTCAAAGGGTGGGTATATATATGTAATTAAAAATTGTAAGAGGGTATAATAATGTTGAGCAGGTTGGTAATGTTATAGGGGAAACACTAGTGCAGTACTCTGCTGAGGAAAAGAAAAAAAATATACAACTGGGGCAAGGAGAGCCTCCTTATATAGACAAGAGTGAGGTATTTTGGACCCAAGAGGGGCACTACATGAGGCAGTGTGACTAGGTACATAAGGAATACATATCTTGAATGGTAGAATGTGATTGGTCAGAATTGTACAGCCCTGTGTGAGGTTTGCTGCAGGCTGAATGAGTGCTTGTGATTGGTCAGGACTTGATGTGTGTTCTGCAGGGTTGTGTAATGTTTGTTGATGATGTAATATGCAGTTGCTAGGTGGTGATCAGCCACTCATGCAAGCGGCTGTGCCTGCATGTGTACTTTTGTACTGGTCATGCAGGACTTATGCACATTGCTGCAACCTGCTGCACCTGCATGTATACTTTTTTATTGGTCATGCAGGACAGTCATTACTTTCCTGTGTGTATGTCTATGTATGTGATGTCCTGTCTATGTATCCTTACGGTGTGGTAGTCAAAAATGTGAAAATTCAAAGTTTTTTTTTCTTTTTTTTCTTATATATATTTTCTTCATATTATCACCCAATCTCTCTCAGAAATCACACCATACGGCTCAAGAATTGGACTCTACAGACAAATTCACCCTTGGTCACCACAGAGGCCTCACTGGAACACACCTGGATCAACTCTTACCCAACAATGGACAACATATTACAAGGATTTCACTCATCACTACATATCACCAATCCCAATTACAACCCTCAAGTTACACAGTCACCCTCAGTACAGTACAAACCCCTCATTTACATACAGCTATTTTTCTTTCACTTCTACATATTACATCATACCTGCAGCCTAAATTAGTGTATTTTCCTTGCATGACAGCTGCAGCTTACACCACCACACTCACTTGTAAACACATCAGAGCCTGACCAATCAGAATCACGCATTCAGCTGTTTGGATCACCACTTCAAACTCTTGTACATGTCTGACCAATCACATTCACTTATTCAAATTTTGTATGTAGCTAAAATCACTCATTCAATAGCCCAGGCCAGCCAAAATCACTCATTACTGGCTGCCCTGGAGCTAAATTACCTCACTGTTGTATATATAAGGAGGCTCTCCTCCCAGTTGATAAATCCCCAGTCAAGTAACACTCAAGCAATATTTGACCACCTTTACACAAACACTTTAAAGCGCCAACCAACACCAAATCAAAACTCTTCATCACACAACTCATTCCTAAAATTTACCCTATCACTTGATTAAAACTTGCCAAGCTAAGCTTGGTGGGTCTTGTTATCTTATAGTATAGAAGGGCAGAGCTTTCACTCCATCATCCCCTTCTCAATTCAGCAAAAAGGGTCTTACAACCACTTTTTGAGTCTTACAACGGGTTGTAAAAGAGGGGTTTCAGTGCCAGTAATGATGTGGAGCTTGAGAGAGTAGGGTTATGAGTAAACTGTGAGTGGCTCATAAGGGTATTTTGAGCTATAGAGTGTGAATATATAGAAATATAGAGTAATAACTAAAGAAAAAATATAGAAAATAGAGTAAGAAGGAGAAAATGAATAAAAATTTCATTTTAGCTATATGGTATACCATCAAGCATCCCACAACACCTATCTCAAGAAGTTTATCAAAGACTTGACAGGTGACCTTCTTTTGGCTTTTGGCTCATTATCTGTTGCAGTTGACAACCAACTCAACTCAGTCCATGAATCCATTGGCAAGGATACCACAAAGGTTCTTGTTGAAATCCCTCTGATTTGCAAGCTCTCAACTTTTGCCATCTTAGAATTCCAAGGCCAATTTCAGCGTCTTAAAAACCTTGACCCAATAGAACCTTGCTCTCAAAACCTTACAAAGGAGCTGGGAATACCCTGTGCCCACAATATAGCTAAAATTTTGGACAAAGGTAATGGATTTTCTCCTGCAGATTTTCATCTACAGTGGCATTTACAGTACAACCCTGAGTGATTGGTTAGTTTGATTTCAGTTAATTAACTAGTTACCAACTTCACCTCTTATTCATCCTTCAAATTTAATGTCTTGTTAGGAACCTGTGGAGTCCAACTTTGATTTCAATGAAGAGATAAAAAAACTTAAGATGGCTCTTTCTCAACAACATCCTAGCAAATTGGAGCAGATTTTCACACAGTTTAAGCAAATTGCTGCAGGCATCCACATAGAGGTTCGAATTCAAGCTCCAGAGGTCAAGAAAAGTCCTAAAGGACAACCATCACTGAAGAAAAAAAATCAAAATCAACAAAAAGAGATCCTTCAGGCTTTGAGATTGTTGAAAGTGAGATCAAGAATCAAAAAAGAAACAAGAAAAGAACAACTAAACCCACAGGCAAATCAGCAAGACAATTGAAAAGGCTGCAAAAATCTGTCGTCTCTTTCTCTTACATTGAACAACTTCTACATCATTATTCCTCCATTGCAAACTCATCTTCCCTTCTTATTCAAATCTCCTCTGACTTTTGCTCTGTCTCCGCCCACTCGTGTGCTTCCCCTTTCTTTTGACTCTTTGCTGATCATTAGCACTCTCAATTATCTCTCCCTCCGCCGACTTGTGTTCTTCCCCTTCCTTTTGACTCTCCGCCAATCATTAGCACTCTCAATTATCTTTCCTATTGTTGTAGGTTAACAACTCAATCATCTTTTGTAAACACAACTTTTTATCAACTGTTTATCAACTGACATCTTTTATCTATTTAGTCGCTCTTTGTTCTTTTCCTCATTATTCTTCTTTGTCGTGTCCCCTGTTATTGTTGCTCCTGCCTTTAGGTACATTTCTTTTTATCATTTCATTTGTTATCATTATTATTTCTGTTCTTAATTGTATTTCATTCTTACTGATCTGAACTACACCTTTAGTTTGACACTTAACACAGGGTCCTAGAAAACACTCCAAATTTTTGGAGTGAAGATCTGTGCACTCCAAATAATTTGGAGTGAGCAGTTTTTGCACCCCTATAAATACCTGGGAAGTAACATCTTGGAGTGCATGGTTGTGCAATCCAGGTTTCTTGGAGTGCACAACAATGCACTCCAAAAACTGAGCTGTGCTCATTTTGGTGTACACACCAAGCATTTTTGGAGTGCCCAGAAGTGCACTCCAAGAATTCTTGGTGTGCACAGGGGTTTTTCTTGGAGTGCAAAAAGGCTGACCCCAAATTAATGGTCAAAAAATTTGAAGTAGTTTTTTAATATGCTATATTCATGACCTGAGGCTCAAGCAATGGACACAAAAATTCAAATGGATAATTTTGAGCTTGTATCTTCACCAGTGCAGGTGTTCAATAAACCATTGAGAATGCTTGCATTAATAATCCACATGTATTTGTTGTCAATTGTATCCAGTGATATGACCAGACAAACACACTTCCCAATCAGTCTGAAAAAAGCAAAATGTGCTTACCAGAATTCTGTACCCACTGTCCTATTCTGAGAACAAAATTGTACCTGGGCTGTTTCATATTCAAAATATGTTGGTACCACCCAAATCTGGCAATGTTCAAGAGTTACATACAGACAAATAATAAAGTTCATGTGTGTTGGAGGGATTCAATTGAATTTTGGTCAGTAATCCTTTGAAGATGTTTGCTATTGAGTCCTTTGAGAGTTAATTTGTACTTCCCACAAGATTAAACACCCTTGAAATCACTTCAAATTTTTTGAATATAGCAAGGAAAAAAAGAATTTGGGGAGTGATAATCACACTCCATCCCCCTTCGCGCACGCACTCCAACACGCCAATCAAAATTGGCGTGCGGACCCACACGCCAACCCTCTGCGCGGGCATTCCCCCAGCAGGTTGGCGTGCGGGTCTGCACGCCAATTTCGATTGGCGTGCAAGGCTG